GTGGAATGAATTGCCTTTGGCAAGAGAGTAAAATCAAAACCTTTGTATGTAGTGCTACAGTACAAACCCTTGGAAACAATAAATAAATGGGGGGTGGGGAGGCAGGCCTTAATTTCGGCCACCCAATTTTACATTCACTAGCATATTAAAATTCTTAAAAGTACTTAGTGTATAAGTTGAGCTATGGAGTTGTTTACTTTAAAAGTCACCTGTGATGATAATTGTTAATCTTCCCTCCCTTCTCACTCACCCCTTCACATACACATACTCCACAAATCTGCACAGGGTGGCTTGGAAAGTTAGTAAAGCCATGGAAAGTAAAGCCATGGCAACAAGGTGACTTCCTGGTGAGGCTGGGTAAATACTTTAGTAGGCACTATGACTTCAATGTTGGATGAATTTCTAAAATTAATTTGAAATGATTTTTTTTTTACTTTCTATTACACACTTATCAAATTTTCTATAGACTAGTTGAAATTAAAAAGCAGACTGCTATTTTTTGTTCTAAAAATAATCTGAAGTATGGCGATTTAAAAAAAATTCACGTAATTTTTATGTTCAACCTCGTTACATTGAAATGAAGATATCCTCCTTTGCCTGCCCTCCTACTTCCAATACTGCAGAGGTATATCAAAAACACAGAAGGTCGTCATAAAATCCCAGTCAAACCAAAGCAACCAAGATGAAAGCACATTTAAGAGCTCCTAGGTTCTGTAAGCTTTCAAAATCAGGACATTACTATCAGGACAACCAATGAAAAGTTCTTTCAAGTGAACCTTTGGGAAAACTATGTAACATTCATTACTCTCTGGGCTCTTTGGAAATAAACTTTTACTTTATTATGCCAGCCACTGGAGCTTGTAAATTATGTTACTCCCCACAGTCACTCTCCCATTCTATATCCTGTCCCCTCACTCATCTAATGCAACCCATCCTTGAACTTCAGGCTATCTATAAATGAAGCCTCAGGGCAATGAGCTACTTCATAGCCATCCCCTATATTTGGTCATATTTATTACAGCAACAGTGTGTCTCATAGTTTGTACTTGCACTTGAGTATGTATTTAAATAAAAGTACTCTCTCTGTGTATATATACATATATACATATATGTATGCATCATGTAATATATGTGATAGATATAATGTGATATGTATATAACATATGTATATAGTCATAAAATATATATGACAGCATTCACTTCCCCAACACACTTTTCAAATATTAAGCAACTACTGAGTTTCATTATTTTTTATCTGTCAAAATGACTTCATAATTCAATAATTGGGTCCACAACTTTCTGAAGTTTTCCATATCCCTGTGGAGTGATGGAAGTTATTGAAATAAAAAATTATTTAAGATTAAAAGATTTTAAGTCCTATGTAGAAATTGGAGGAACTTTAAGAATGCACACTCCCTAACTTTAAAAGTACTAAAGCCTCACTAATGTTTCCAAGGGTTAACTCCCCTATGATCATGACAGAAGGATTTCATTTCTCAACATCATTTACTGCTTAGCATTGCTCCATACTAGACAGAATAAATGGCGGTACAGTGTAACCAGTACTGCTCATTCACTTCTGACGCCCATCTGTGCACGTTACCCATCCTAATAAAGAAAATTTATCATAATGCAACTTAATGTGATTATCCTTCAAATGGCTTCTGCCTCCATTGAACAACAGCCAGCATTTTCAACTTGGAATTTTGCAAAACTCTCTTCTGATTCCTCTTTAAAATGCAATTCACAGCTTGAGATCACAGAGCCTGCCAGTGACTGAATGGCTGCACTAGGCAGCTGAGAGTCCTTCAATTAAGCAGCAATTTTGCAATTAGTGGAAGCGGAGTGCTCCATAACAATTGTTTGAAAACAAGTAGAGACAAGTGAGCAATTACCCTATTAAAGAGATATATTCACTTTCACGGGACTAAAAGAGCCCCCTCACACAAACCGAAACCTTCCCCACAAGGAGACAAACACATGCTGAAAATTATGTTTTAACCATTAGAATGAAATCAGTTCAGTATAACTGTTGTAACAAGAGTGCCTTTCATGAAAGACAGTCAGAGGTTTAGCTGTTGTTCCCTCTCTGTGTTATTGTCATTCAGGAGATCCACAACTGCTCCTTACTCTAAAACTATATTCCTACATCTTAAATTCTTAATGAACTACTTGTGTGTGACCTTTCCTTCCAAGATATACATCTTAGGTTCTCTTGAGGCTTAGAAGATAATGTTTACAGAACCCAAACCTGCTGGCTGTGCTACAATTTACAACATACAGGGATATAGAGTTGTGTGGGGGAAGGCTGAGGAGGGACTATACTGAAAGCTTTAAAGATGAATGTAAAAGAGAATGAAAACAAGCTGTTTGCTATACTATCAGGTGGGCGTGCTCAGCCTGTTCTATGTGCCAAGCTACAACCCAGAGCTATTTATATTGGGAAGAAATGAGATTATCAATCATTTACATTTTTACTATTAAAAAGTTGGGACTCTTAAAACATTTCCGGAAGCAGAGAACAGCTTACAGCTGACATTCTAATGTTGCCCCCTTTAAACAGAACATCCAAGGACTTTGAGCTAAGAAATTTATATTTACATTTACTACAATTTCTTCCTCCCAGCAAGTCAAAAGGAACTAGAAATAACCCAGCTCCTTTTCTCTCTTGGGACCTTTAGGAGATTTAAGCAATTGATTTACATAGTATAAATGTGTTCTGAGGTGAGGATGGTGGCACTCTAGGTAAATGATCACTTTCTAGGCTCCTCTTGTTTGCAATTAAAAGTTACATGCTTCCAGGATATCCTAAAACTGATTTCTTAAATGCCTTAATTTCTAGATACATAAAGGTGACAATTCTTTTGAATGACCTTAAATAGCATCCTGAAATAAACATGATTTCTAATTACCAATTTAGCTCTGAATGGGCTGTGAGAGACTCTAGAAACATGTGAAAAATTACTGTAACTCTATCTTTAAGAAAAATGTTATGTCTAAGTGTGTCTGTAATGGTCTAATGCTTCAAGATTTGTGCGCCATGTACACCGGTCTTGTTTATCTGGAAATTCTTTCTTTCTTTCTAAATCATTTATAAACAGGAACATTTTAATTACTTAAGTTCTCTATATAACATGTGTTCTGTCTCATAGTATTTACTATTAATATTTACCAATATGTGTCTCATTTGACAAAATAACATAGATGAAAAACAGAAAACAACTTTATGGTTCTGGAATTCCAATAATGGTAACTACCATATTTCAAATTCCAGTAAAGATTACATTTCAACAAGTGTCTGTTTCCTTTCTCTTACCTTTAGAGGTAAACTTGAAAAATACAAAACATCAACAACAAAAAAAAAAACTCCAAACCTTATGCAAACTAGGGAACTGCAGTAATTATTTCACACACACACACACACACACACACACACACACACACACACACCTGTGTTATTTCAGGCCCCTGTGCAACAGAGTAAGTCTATTATGTATAACAGCTTGAAGTGCCCCTGTTCTAACCGCAGGTCCCTCCGACCAGAAACCAATGTAGCCTGTGGCAAACTGAGAGGGGCCAGGATGCTTAGGGGAATCAAACCCGTAAATAAATATATAAATAAATAATGCGAAAAAACAAAAATCAATCGTAAAATCAAAATGGTTTTTGACCTTATAACTAATGTATTAAAAATCGATTTTGGAGAAGAATTAAAAGAGGGATATATTTTCAGTAAGTTGATCTAATTGTTGGGAAGGGGGACTCATTTAACTTTTTTATACACAGATAACAATGATCGTGCCTAATTACACACTGCTTTCTTTTGAAATGTAACTTCTAGAAGACTTAATAAACAGGGAGAATATTCTTCTAGCCAAAAACACCCTGAATTCTCGTGAGAAAAACAAAGTTCATTGGTTGTTGTTGACACCGAGAAGTATATTTCAGGATATCAGGAAGACCCTGAAGTAAAATCCAGTAAGTCCCAGCTCCTGGTCAAGGGTGGATCATCAAAACACCCCAGAGACACAAGGAAAGGAGCGCATCAAGTCATAACTCCCAACCTGAGCCGCATGTATCAGGAAGCTGGTCCGAAACACGAAACACCGTTCAACAAAATTTTCCTCACACCCTACGAAAGATCCGCAAAACTGCCCCCAAGAACTTCCCCACCCCCATCCGACCGCCCCCAGCAGCTGCTCTTGGCAGTGTGGCCGGCAGAGGGCACCCTCTACCTTCCTAGCGCAGCTCTTCTGGCCCTCCTCTTCCCTCTACTAGAGCCTCCCTCTCTACCTCTTGCTCTCCCCCGCCCCCCACCCCTGTCCCCCCCGTGCCCAGTTCCCTAGTCCAGGCTCCACCCCCAACTCACGAATTGTTTTCACTAAAACACCAGTTCACCCCCCGCAGTCTGTAGCTCGCCTACCCCCCCCCCCAACCGCCCCAGGAGAGCCCCCCGGGCTGCAATTTCTTCCTCTTTTCCCTCATCATCAAGCACAAAGCCCCAAGCCCCCATACTCAGCTATTTCTTTCCAGACTTAGCTCACCCATCCATTCCTCTTCCAGTTTCAGCATCCTCAGAAACCAAAACCTGTCGTTTCATCCTCCATAGACACCCAATCTACTCCTCGACCAAAGTCAAAACTTTCACTTCCGCGCGAGGATGTCCTAAGGGAGGCACGCAGTTTGGGAAGAGGGTCGGATTCAGACTGTCCGGGAGTTCCACAGATCCTTTCAGGCCTTAGCGGCAAGAAAGGTCCCAAGTTTTTCCAGTTACATTGGCCTTGGACCTGTAAGCAAGCTTTGGTATTACTCTGTGAAGAGCAGGTGACAGTGTACAGCCCGTGTGATACCCAGGAAAGGAGATGAGGGCAGGGGCGCAAAGATCCACTCCCGGACCCCACACCATCGAGGTCCGAATCCGCTTGGGGAGTAAGGGATCCCGCCCCAGCCCGGTGCCCTCTGTCTGAGCCCCCCGACAGTTGGCGCCCTGCATCTCTCACCACCCTTCCTCGTCTGCGGGAGGACTTCGGGGATCCCCTGAACGCAGGCTTAGCTCCCATGGCGCAAGTCGTCCTATCCCCTTGGTCTTTTCTCTCGCACTGCAGGGATTCCCGAGGTCCAGCTGTCCCTCTGGGTCGTGGGCTCCAGGGAGAACGTTCCTCAAGAGCAACCCGCCCCTCTGCTGTCACTGGACGAAGGTGAAGCCGGAGTTCTGCGGTCCCACAACTTCTCATTCCCCCAGCCAACTTTCCCGGGCGCACGCGCCGCTGGCTCCCGCGCTTAGCCCCACGCCCCGCAGTCTCCTACCTCGGGGTCCACACAAAGCTCTCGGATCCCCGGCAGCGGAGTCACATCGTTGTCACGCTCTTGGCCCCTACGCCCTGCCCCGGGCCCCGTGCGCTTTCCCGTCCACCCCACGGCAGCGGTAGCAGAGGGAGGAAACCGGTCTCATCAAATCTTCCCCAAGCGGAGGTGGCGCGTCGCCCCAGGCGGCCTTCTTCTCCAGGCCCGGGAGTCCCCGGGGCCGCGGGGACCGTGCGACAGCAAGCCAGCGGGTGCGCCCTGGCGCGGCGGCTGCGGCGGGCACCCGGAGCTCAGCCAGCGCCAGGCGCTGGGGTCAGACATTATTTAGCTCTTCGGTTGAGCTTCGATTGGTCAGACAGCGCCGCCCCTATCCCCTCCCTGCTCCGCCGCGCCACTGATACCCATTCGGGGCGGCCGCTTAAAGGGGACGCCGCGTCTTTTCCTCGTGGGAGCTGAGCCCTCGGGGCCCTCGGGGAACCCCTGACCGCCCTACACTGACTTCTCGCTATTCCCCGGGACCCCGCCGCTTAACCCCCAAAGCCTTTCGCCTGCCCTCTGCGGCCTCCCACAGGGTGCTTTGGGCTAGGAGGGGTGGTCGAATCCCAGTTTCCAGGAACCCTGCTCCTGGCAATGTGCTCCAGAGCAGGAGAAAGCGTGTGCGAATCCCACGCGCCCAAATCTTTCTCCCCTGGTGTGCAACTCTCCCCTACCTTTCCCATCCTAGCACCTAAGTTCTGTGAGAGAGGGTGTGCATTTCCCCCGCCCCAGACACACCTTCCCGCACCTTTCCTCACCACAGAGCTAGGGGAAAAAATGAGCACACAATGAAACTGCACCAAGTGTGCGGGGTTATGGTTTACTCCTCTACCTTAAACACATCAGCTTAACCAAGAGTTCGCGCCCTGACCTCTCCCGGAGTTTGCCTAATAGAATTCAATCAAGATAATAACAGTATTTTTTATTAATGAATAACCCCGGATAACATTACACCAAGTTACTGCTTCTAGCCGGGAAGCCTAGGCAATAACAGACCTCACTAAAGCCATATGCTTCCCAGCAGACCAAACCGGGGGGGGGGGGGAGGCGGGAGGGGGAGAGAAAGAAAAAGAAAGGGAAAGAGAAAGAAAAGAAACCCACCTTTTTCAGTCACTACTTGTCAAAGTAAACATCAAGGCAGCTGCTCTGGGGAAGACCGGTCCCCAAGGTCCTAGACTCTTACTATATTTTTCCCCTTCCCTTCGGTTAATAGGGGGAGGGGGACGAGTCTTTGGTGGCTGGTATGTACTCCTGTTCTGCAGCAAAGAAGTTAAATTATTGATAGTGGAAATTGCATGGCGGAGGTAATACTCGCACGCCTTCAGTGAGAAGCTCCATTTGATCTAGGCAGAGGCTGGGAGATTTCATGCTAGCTCCGGGGGTGGGTGGGGGGAGCGGCAGCGAGAGCAGTCCTCTCCTCAGTGAATGGGAAAGTGGGTGGGAATCCACGAGAGGGCTCCACGCTGCCTTGACGTGAGCTGTCATATGATACCTCCTCTGCCTCGAAATAGACACTCTAGTGCACGAATTACCAGAATCAGAATTCCGCTCATTTAAAATGATACATCTTTTATTAGAAGAATTCCGTTCCAGGGCATTGCATGCTTTGTAGATGTTTTCACTTCCAGTCCTAGCGAAATCTCACACACACACACACACACACACACACACACACACACACACACACACACGCCCAGCCTTTCATTATCCTGGCAACAACACATTAAAAAAATATTTAACCAGAGTTCAGAGTGAGGGGTGGGTGAGGTGGGGTGGGGTAAGTCGCTTACTAAGCCCCCTTCCTCTGGGGTAGTGGTCTTTGGGCTTCTCTTTTGCCTGTAGTAGAGAGGAAAACTCCTTGGCTAGGTGCTGGAGGACAATTTTAATTTACATATTTGATAAACTCTCCCAAGCATCTACCCGGAACCCTGCTTTGTTATACGTTCCTCTCTTAATCCAGCCAATTAGTAAACGCTAGGGCAGACTTTAACTTTTGGGGAGGGGGAGGGGCGGAGGGTGGGGAAGAAGCCCAATACTGGGCTTGGAGTCCCACCTCTTGTTAACATAATCACTTTCATGCATTAAAACCAAGGTTCCTTCTTCTGAGGTTGGCCTTTAGTATGGCTAAGGCAGGGCCCAGGGATTAGCATTTTAATAAGCAATTCCTTTACAGAGAATCTGAAGTCATACCACAGAAGGCTCATATGTGACTCATACAGGAGGCAAAAATGACTATTAGAAACTCTTGCACCCCAACTCTTGTGGGCCCTTGTGTGTGAATGTGCATTTTTGTTGAATCTTAATGACTTGATCATTGCTAAGACATTGCTGTATGGATGTCTTTGAATGCTTGAACATTAAATTTGCCAGAGGAAAAGAGGTATGAACAGTTCCCTTTCCCAGATGTCTCATAGTTATCAAGAATGAGCTATTGAATAGAATATAAGATATTATTGTGACCTGAGATTCATTTACCAAGTGCTGATAGTTAATAAAGTGAAATAACTAACATTTGAGAGCTTTCAAAACTGCTAATAGACACTGCTTCTGTTTTATAAGCGAAGAACCAGAGATTTAATACCACACCATAGTTTAGTCAAGTGCATAGTAATTTACTCAAGTGTATGCATATCACAGATAAACCTTAAAGGCCTCAAGAACTCCAGCTAGAAATGTCCCCTGCCTTTAGTTTCTGCCCTTCAGTAAAGGGAAGCCATCAGAATTCAAGGTCCTTCCCAGTTCCATTGGAAACTGTTGGTCTGAATAGCCCAGTTATTCAAATATATGAACATTCTTAGAGTGTCACTCACAGCTTTGCACCTCTGTCAATTTGATGGAACACATGATCAATATGAAGGATCCTACAGCACAGATGGTGGAGTTTATTGTGAAATAGCTAATGTATATGAAATGTGCAGGAGAAACAGAGAGCGATAGAGGGCATGAATCTGAGCTTGGGCCACCTCTAAGACCCTCTGTATTTCTTCCTAGGGTATAGGCTCAAGGCAACCATGATTCCTTAGACTGTTATAACTTAAGTAGTTATATTGTAATCTTTAAAACTACCTGTATATATTTAAAAAGGACTGGAGTACTCTTATCCCCAATTTTAAAAGGAAAATAACTTTAAGTCAGTTTCAAACTGATGCCTACTTTCCAAACCTTACACTTATCAGGAGTGAGTTCTGACCCCAGTTTTTGAAATCTGTTGTGATTTCTTTCTTTTCTGAAAAACACCTTGCAAGCAAATGTCCTTGGTAGCATCGTCATTGCTGTTCAGGTAGATGTTATGTGTAATCTTCCTTCTGTGGAACTCACATTTCCCTGTTAGCACTTCTGCTGAAGGAAAGATGCTGTCATTCTGAGACTCTAATTGCATGGCTGATCTTGTTATGCCCACTCTCCCTTGACATTATAGAAATAAATGTTTGTGTCTTCCCTTTCCAGTGGGTGGTGCATTTTTACTGAGAAAAAGACATACGAGTCAGAAAGGCAGGAGTGTTTTGAACATAAGATCAAGTGCCAATTCATATAAGCCTGATAAAGCAGACTTCTTCCCACTTTTGAGTATTTTCCAATGTCCTGATTTGTGATTATGGCAATAACTGAACAGTAAAAGACTACACTTAAGACATTCATCTACTTGCCATAAGAAGTTCTCCTTACACTGAAAAAACAACAAAGTCAAGATGGATCAAGTGTCAGCAGTTTGCAGGAAGTTATGAATTCTTAAAAATCTTTATTATGGTAAATAGTCCACTAGTTTTGAGGGTCTAATATCAAACTTTGTACAGGAAGTGTCTTCTTTAGTTTTGGCAGGTCTCACTATTCAGCTCAGGCTGGTTCTGGAGTTGGCCTCCGGAGTGCCCTGTTCTATACGTGCATGCCAAAGCTGTAACGCCACTTTCATATTATGCTCAAAGGCAATGTTTAATAAAATTAAGCATGCATTTTTTATTTCTATTAAAGATTGGCTTGTGGCATAAAAGATTGTTATTGGGAGCAAAGGTTCCTTCTAAGTTTTTGATGCCAACATTTTCTCTATTATTAAAAGGTAGAGGAAGCTATGAAGAAAAGAAACTCTGTTGCTTTGGGGCTTAAAAGTTAATTTTGAGTGAGTCTAAGTCTTAATTCCTTTGATTTATTGCTTAATACTGCCCTAACTAGGTATTTCAAGAGGACAGAAGTGAGGCAGAATGTGACTTCCCATCTAGTCTTGTCAGGAAATACAAACTAATTCTCATTACCCAAGTGGGAACAGAGGCAGTGGGATCAGATTTGATACTGACATATTTTTCTATTAATAATTTTAATTGGCTGAGGTCAATTCTACTATCTCCATAAACATTTTATGTTTAATTGTGTTTATTGAAGTTTCTCAGTTACTCCTATCTTCATTCTTCTTTGAAAAACAATGTCTAGTATCAAATGAATTGACCCCAAACACTGCTGAAAATTAGAGAATTAACACAGGGAAAATAATAAGTAAACAGAAAACTTCCCTGATGAATAGAGTGACAAAGATGTTTTCAAATCCATGCTGCATGATTTCCAAGGTCTAGTTTGACCTTGAACTGCGTCATTCAGTCTTTGAAATCATTGAATAAGGCCTGCTCAGAGAAAAACACTTTAAGGAAAAAATAGTTTCCTTATTCATTGGGTAGTACTTCTCTGTAAGATTCTTACAAAGCATAAAATTAACTCTGCTTCATACTTAGATGTGGCCAAGTTGACCAATACCTGTTATAGGAATTATGTATCCTGACAGTCCTGGTATTGATAGATAAAAGCGAAGGGAAGAGCAGAAAAGATTACAAAGGCCTAGGTATTTTGTGTTGAAAAGGAGGGTGAAATAAAAAGGAGTCCCATCTGGAAATACTTGTCTAATTCAAGAAAAACCACCATCAGAACCATTATGAAATT